CAATGTCACTTGAGGCTATATAAGTCCAGAGTCTCAAAGGAAGAATGAACTTCCCAGCAATAACAACTCTGAATAGGAAAGTTCAACATGAATGGAGCTTAGCACTGGACAGACAAAAAATACACTTTCACCCAAAACTTTCCATATCAAGTCTGAGGACAAAAGTTCATTGTACTCACAATCAGCAATGAACAATTGGAATCTCAAATGGGAAAGGCACAGCATAATCCAATTTTACTCACAAAATACACAAAAGGTGGGAGCAAGTATAATTGAGGTAGGCGGCAGACGAAATTTAAAAAGATAGATATGCCAATTTTAATACATTTCAAGAATTTATCCAGATTTTCCATAAGAACTATTTAACATAAACACAAATTTCCCTGTCCTTAAAATGCATGACCAGATAGATTATATGTATGTATATACATATATATATATATAATATGTGTACATATGTGTATATATATTCTATACATACATACATATTTAACGAAAGGAGATTGCTGGTTAGAACTTCATTCTCCAAGGCCTGCATGTGCCTTGATGAGGAGAGCCCTGCCCGGGGCTCTGCGGATCTTCTTTCCAGCAGGAAGGGTTTCTTTCCCTGCAGCTGGCAAAGCTGGCAGCAGAGGGCACTCAGCCCTCAGCTCACTTCACCTCCACCTCTATGGGCTCTGTGGACAGTGCTGCTTTGACTCCAGTGGTACTTCTTCTCCGGGGCAGCCTGCCTTTCACAACTGCTTGGGGCAGCTGCCGAGGAACTTGGCCTTCTGGCCTAAACTGGGGACCATCCTGCCGGCTAGTTCCATTCCCAGCTTCCCATGGCGCCTGTCCAGGTCTTGGCCAGACTGCTTCTCAAACCACCTCCTCCCTCTGCTTACCAGCTTCCCTCCCTCTCCTTCCACTGGTCTTGGTTCCAAGACCCAAGTGCAGCCAAGAAAGGTCAGCCGTGGCTCGAGTCCACTGCTCAGCTTGAGCCCGATTCTAGGGGAGGAAGAATACTATCTTTGGTGGGCAGTTGGCCCTTTGGCCGTCTTGATTCAACAAAGGGCATGGAAGTCCATCTCCCTGATAACACAGGATGGCGAGTGTGCCACCTTTCTCATACAGATTAAGGAAATGGATGAGAGAACAAGAAGACACGTCTGGAATACTGGCAGAGAACACGAAATTTGGCAAAGGTTTCCAGGGACCACAGGAGGCAGGGTGGCAGCTGCTCACCCCACTGTTAGGTCTAATCCCCCAAGCGGTCCTGTCCCTGGTACCATGATCGAGAATCGTGTTAATTAAATCACCCTCATTAATTCAGCCCAAGTGTAAATTAGGAAGGAATGAAGATAAATTAGGTTTGAAGGCAGCTAATACATTTAACCCCATGCTGCTTATTTTGCAGCCTAACAAAATCAACGTTGTTGAGGCAGATAACAAGGCCAAAGCCTTGGGCACTGCTTCCTAATAGCATTAAAAACAAAAACTTGGTTTGATGTCACAGGGCAAAGGTGAAGACCAGCTCCCAGGGGCCTATAGGAGAGGACTGGTCTAAGATCCTGGCCAAGGTACAATCTAGACAATGTATACCGCATTTCCGGAGTTGGCTGCCACTCCGGAGATGGCTGCTCTTAACTCTGTCTTTGGTTGTCCGGCTTGATGATACCGCCTATCTTGAAACTCCTTATTGTACAGATACTTTTCTTCCTGTGAGTAAAGTGTTAAGAATTACCTTCAGGATTGGCTGAGACGCACTAGAGCAGTCACGAGGTTTAAGTTTCTGGATCATAAAAACACTGAGTTGCAGATCACTTTCAGCCATCAAACAGACCTGAGCAACCACCCACTCTGCCCCTACTTACGAACATTGGTTGGAACCAACTCGTGGAAGGTTTGGAAGAGGGTTGCTGGCAGCACACACATGGCCCCCGCAAGCCCCCAAACGCAAGTTTACTTCCTCTATGTCAGGAGGAAAAATATTTCCCAGTTTTAAGGACCTACAAAAGCACATTCCTTGGATCAGAAAGACAAGACAGTGGAAAAGGAGCTTGCTGTGTAAACAGCCGACCAGGGTTCGATCCCTGGCATCCCATGTGGTTTCCTGGGCCCACCAGGAGTGATCCCTGAGCACAGAGCCAGGACTAAGTGCTGAGCACCACCAGTCGTGCACCACTTCCAAAGGCGTGGATTTTTTTTTTTTTTTTTTACTGTTGGGGTTGCTTATCTCCCTGAAGGAGATAAAACAAATGCTTAAGGTCACCAAATGCATTTCAAGATTTTCCAGGTTGCACTTGTCCCCAACTCACTCGTTCTCTTTTCTCCACACCTGGTTCGACTTTACACATACAAGAAGGCAGGAGAGCAGCTGCAGCCAAGGATGACATTCCGGTCAGAGGCACGCTCACCCCCTTTCTCTGCTCCGCCTGCTCAGAGAAGCTGTTTGGTTTCCCCTTGGTAAAGGACTCTCAGCAGTGTCCACATGGTAGAAATGCTCCAGAAACAATGCCTGCCCCCAGTTCCCGGATTCCTGAGATGGGTCCCCCAAGCCAACGTTGTGCACCTGCATCTGTTACTCCTGACAGGCTGGTCTCAGTATATTCTAGGAAGGCCTGGGAAAATGACAGGAAAGAAAGTACTTCTTACGGTGAGAGAATCCATACCTTCAGTAGGACACACACAACCCTGCACAGCCCCCATGGTTCTTGCTTTGGGCCCAGAATCTGGATGTATAAGGGTGTCACAGTGTCATGGAGGCTGTCCTAGGCCACAGAAACATGGTTACAAATAAATAGGTAACAGGACCCAGCCATGTTAGGGTGCTTGCCTTGCATCAGCAGCGCCAGGAGTTAAGTGATGAGCACCCTTAGGTGTGCCCTCCCCCCCATAAAGGAACTAGGTACAAGATCTTACAATACAGCTTTCAGCACCCATACATTTGGTCTGGTCTCATTTCATCCCCGGCCCCGCAGGCAAAAGGCGGCTCGAGGGTCCTGGAATCGCCGCCGGGGTTCCGACTGACTGTAATTTGGTCTGGCCTCTCAGGCTTGGAGGAAGTGTCCAGCGCAGACCGCGCGTATTAATCTCAAACACGAAACTGATCTGTGCAAGGCTGACGAGTTAATGCGAACAAAGGACTTCAGAGGGCACTGTTTTTCTTTGTTTGCAAGGAGTGCGCGCTCTGCCGAGGATACCCAAAGGGACCGAGAGGGAAAGAATAGAGGGATTAAACTCAGGAACCGGCGGAGTCTGGGCCGCCGCAGGGGAGCGCCCCTGGAGCCCCCTCTGCCTGCTGCGGCCGTTCCCGTGCCTAATATTTAAAAGAAGGTGGGAAATGAGGGCGTGGGTGTGGGGGGTCGGAGGAGACACCGTCGCACACCCCGGCTCTGGCCAGCCACTGCTCCGTGGCTGTCTCCGCTGGTCCATCCACATCAGTCTCCTAACCTGGGAAGCGATCGGGCAGGGCCACGCTTTCCGACAAGTTCATTCATCAGGCTTTATCTCGAATACTTAATAGAAGCAAACATGCCTTCTCGGAGCGAGAAGACAAAAGTGGGTTTCAAAAAGGCGGTCTACTGGGCGGGATCGTTTATTTTCCCGATAGTCCTTCTTTCTTCCTGGCACGCGGCGTTTCAAACCTGTGTGTGCCGGGGCATTTCTTTGCTCAACTCCCGAGGAACACGACCGAGCTAGATAAAGGCTGGGCGCGCCCGGCGACAGAGCAGGCTCTATCGGCAACGGAGAGCAAGCACGGCGTGGCCACCCCGGGGAGCAGGTCCCTTTGAATCCAGCGGCCCCGGCGATTGGCTGCGAAACACGTGGTGCGCGCCCAGCGGACAGCGCCCCCTCCGCGGTGGCCGCCGCCCGGGCCGCGCGGGGCAGAGTCCGCCCGCCTGAGCCACACCTGCCGGGGGCTGCGGGGTGGGCGCGAGCACACGGGGGCTGCCCAGGGTGCTCAGGTCTGTCCCTCTGTCCCCCACCGCCACCCCACCCGGGTCGTGGCTGGTCCGAGCTGCACCCTCCCTGGAGCCTCCCATCCTGCGCCCGGGGGCTGCTCTCCGGGATTCCCACCCGGCGCTGGCTTGGCCCGTCCCTTTGCACGGGTTCCCGAGCATCTCCGCTCCGGCGGCGCCCAGCGCCCTAAGAGCTAAGGTTTACAGTGCCCTGCCGAGGGCCACTCCGTACAGTGGCACGCACATCCACGAACCCGGCGGGGCCAAAGCAGCGCCGACACCCCGAGCCCGGAAAACTAGTCTCTTTCGCGCTCCCCAAGGACGGCAGCTGCCAGAGGCGGAGATAACTTGGTCTCGGCGTCCGCTTTGTCTCCCTCCCGCCTCTCCCCCGCTTCCTCTCGCCACTAACTCCCCCAAAGTCCCGCTTCCCTCCCCCCGCCCCCCGCCACTCCTTCTGATCCTGCTCCCCGTCCCCCACCCCCGGGCTGCATTCACGCACCTCCCCCCTCCCCCGCCCTCAGTGTCTGGGGCTCGGCAGACGCGTCCTCCCCTCCCCTCCCCTGCCCTCCCCCCCCGCAGCGCCGTTTATAGCCCGGCGCTCGGCCGCCCGGCGCAGACGGTCTCGAGCAGCCCAGGAGGAGGCGGCGGTGGCGCTGCGGAGACCGAGTGGAGACGCCAGGCGGCCGCCGGCGCGCACGGCGCAGTCGAGCTCCCTCCCGCCCCCGAGCGCTCAGCACCGCCCGCCTCCTTCCGCGGCGCCTGCGGCCGCGGGCTCCCCTGGCCTCTCGCCTCCGGGAGACGCTCGGCCGATCGCGGGCCCCGAGTCCCGGGCGTGCGGGAACCCTGCCGCGCCCCAGCGAGCGGTGGTAGCCGGGCGCCGCGGCCAGCCCGTTCCCGGGGCGCGATCGTCTCCCGGGGCCTGCACCCCCTCTATGCGCGCTCCTTTCTCCCGGGCAGCCGCCGCCTCTCCCGGGTGCTGAGACGTCCGCCGGGTCGCCTCTTCCTCCTCCTCCTCCTCCTCCTGCTCCCGGTGACCGAGCCGAGAAGCCTGCGGCTTGTGCGTGGAGGCCGGTGGCGGCTGCTGTAAGTTTCGCCCCACGAGCCCGGACCTGTTGCGGGCGCCGCGGGTCGCCGGGGCTGCTCGGCCTGCGGGGGGTGTGTTCGCCGGCTGCTGTGCTTGCTGCCGGAAACCGGGAGCTCGGGCGCTGGCTTCGGGGAAGTGTGGGGGGCTAGCGGGGTGGCGGTGGGAGCTTTTCTTGGGGCGGAGACTTCCGTGGCTGCGGTTGGCCTCCCCTAGCCGGCAAGCCCGGGCCGGGGCGGAGGCGAACCGCGCGGGGAGCGGAGATCGATCGGAGGCGCTTCCCGGGAGGAGGATGTCTCGCCGCCTCTGGGGAGGAGGGCATGGGGGGGGGTTGGCCACCCAGGGGAGAATGGGGGTCGCCCGCGTGGGCTTTCTAAGCCCACTCCCCTCGGCATTGAGAGCACATTCATTGCGGCGGCGAAACGCCTGTAAGGAATGAATGAAAACTGGTTTCCTAAAAATCAGTGTCTCCTGCAAGTATGTTGGGCTGTAGTTTCAACATAATTCGTCTCGACGGAGGGTGATCGGTGGGAGGGGTGAGCATGAACCATTGAACTTGTTCGGCACGCAATTTGGTGTGGTTCACACAGACATGGCCCGCGTGCTAAGTGGTAAGAGTGTTGCAGAGGGTGGTATGTTGTTAACAAGATCTTTATAAGGTGCCGTAGTTATCAGTAACGTAAATGCCCCTAACAGAAGTGCCCCAGAAAAATCTGCCGGCTTCTCTGCTGATCGCGTGGGGCTCAGATCGTGCAGAAATGTGCCTGGATGCTATGTAGTGAAGGCAAGAGAAACCTATGCCTGAGCAGCCGGAGAGCAGAACTTACAGTAACTAGAAGCTCTTTTGATGTTTTCCGTAATAGCAGCCCTTTCTTTGTAGAGGCAGGTTAAGTATATATGAGCTTTTCGCCTTTTTTTTTTTTGCCACTACTACCTTGGCATGCAAATATTACCGTGGTGATCTTTAAAAATGCCAGATGATACATTGGGGGAGGGGGGTGGGTTTAAAGGTGTGTTTAGTGATTGCATAAATGGTCTCTCCTGGCATTTTGGTGTTTGCATAATTTTAAGCTAGAAGGCAGGTTGCATCCCCTGAGTCTTGAAGTTTACCTTCTCCTTTAATCAAATGTTGCTGCAAGAATGTTGGGTTTGCATTTGCCTTGTGGCGCGCCATCTGGATAGTATCCAAGGACCAACCCGGAGACTGCAGGAGATTAAACACAGGATGCAGAGTGATGCAGATCCTGTATCCTAAGGTCTTCCAAACCTGCTGTTTTCTTAAGTGGAAGTCTGATTGTGAATGTTGTTTTTACCACATGCAGAATCTAATGCTCAGGGCCCATGTGACTCCAGCTAGTTGTGCTGACTCTTTAGGCTTCTGCACCTGGTGTGGGGAGCCTCCTTCCTCAGCCAGAGAGCCGTGTTAGCCCAGAGCCTCAGCCCAAGCAGCTTTACAGGTTGTTTTGGAAGCATTCCTTAAAAAATAAAAACACATATATGTATGAGCCACTGCCTATTTGGAATTACTGCTTGTTCCTTTATGAAGCATAGAGGTGTGTATATGTATGTGATCTGGGCTTATAATGTTTCTTAGAATACTTGAGACCGGATGTACCATTCAAATGACAACTACAGTAGCTGAGGGCCAGGGACCCTGGTCGATGCATTTGAAGAAGCCTGATTACTTCGTGTTGGGTTGCGTCCAGTTTCCCTGCACCTTGGATATTGGTTAAAATACATTAGACTGTGGCAGCTTAGCTGGAGGAAAGGGTGAGGCATGGTTTCTCACTGTTTGTCATTGTCATCTTCCGAGTCACTGTGGAGTCTTGTGGGTGCTTTGTCAAGTGTGCCAAGTGCAGAGACCAAGGACTTTGTTGCTTACTTCCACTAAGCCGTGTTTACTCATAACACAAGTTACATTCCAAAAATAAGGGAAAACAGGTTGCATCACCTAATGGTATGAGGCCTCCCTGTCAAGTCGAGCAACCTGCTTTGTTGCTTTCTCTGCCGGGCTGTAGCTTTCAGGATATGAATCCCTGGTCAGTAGCTCATTTACACTTACACGAATAATTCCTGGGCTATAAATTAAAGAATATCGGAAGGTTTCCAGGAAATCGGAGGCGATGCTTTTAGCTGTGCTCTAAGAACTGGCTGTCCTGCGCTTGGAGGGATTGGAGGGAGTTCTGGAGGGATTGGAGGGAGTTCTGCGCTTGGAACAGATACTGTAACCACATGGTTTAGCCCAAGTGATAAACAGCTTCTTCGGGAGCCCTTTGACAAGCATGTTTTCGAAGGTTTTGTTTCTTTGAAGTAACCAAAGAAGGTGGAATCAAGGGGGAGGAAAGCATGTGATTTCAGTGTTTTTTTTCTTTTTTAAAAAAATACCCAGGAGAGCTTAGATTCTGCTGCAACTTCAGCCATAACTACTTAGGATGGCACAACTGTCAGCAGATCTAGGGTGGCCTCAAACAATGGCTGGCAAGATCTGCAACACATGCAGAGCTACATACTTCCATGCATGCTAGTTTGTGTCTTAGCGTTTACATAGTGTGGTGTTGGCATTTGGAATAACCTAAATGCTAGTGCCAGTGTTTGCATGTCTCAAAGAATGGTCTTGGTTTGAATCTAAAGAAAGGGGGTGCAGAGAGCCTTTGTTCTTAGTGAACGTCTTTCTAAGAATTGGTATAAGCAAGAGGAATGGAAAAATGGTCTCCAAAAGTGGCTACTCAAAACGCGCCCTTTTTGTGCACATATTTCTTGCTCTGGAGTTCTTGGGGGGGGGGTGGGATATACCTGATGGTGCTCAAGGCTTACTTAACCTGGCTTTGTGCTCAAAGGATTTATGGGGTGCCAAAGATCCACGTGTAAAGCAAATGCCTCACCCCTGTACATTCTCTTCTACCAAATCCTCATTTTGGAAGCTTTCCAGAACAAATAGGATGAGTAGTGATTGTGTCTGAATTGATTTGGTGTTTCAACCAAACCTGCTGATATAGGGCTCTGTTTAGAAATTATTTTCAACATTTATACAGAGGTCTTATTGCAGAGGTTAGCCTACATTTACTCTGATTTAAATGTTCCATTTCCCATTTGTACTGTAGGTACAGAGAGTGCCTCTTACCAAAGGAATTCTTAATGGAATTAATTAGTAGGTCTTTGTTTTACACATGGCTTTATGTTGCATAGGGTATTAAACGATGCCCTTCCTGGCGTTACGAGAGCAGGAGGCCTGGCATTTTAAGTGGCCAGCAGTGAATCAGTGGACCAGTGCTGTGAGAACAAGACCTTCCTCCCCTTTGGCCTTTGCTGACTTACATTCTCAAGGACTTCCATATTCTGAGAGTTGGCAATCAGGTTTTCCAAGATAAACCTGATTTTATGGATAGTTCCTACAGCCCAACAACATTTCACCGAAAGCCTTTCTGTCCAGGTAGTCATCTCTATGGAGAGAAATGGTCACACTCTCCTGAGAATAGAGCTGCCGGGCTACCTCTCATCCCTGGACCATTGCTCTCCCTAGAATGCTCTTGTTTTGTTCTGCTGTCCCAAGCATCAAGAGCATGACTTAATAGTTTTGTTTTGTGTTTTAGGAGTGGAAACAAAATGTCAGTCAGCGTGCATGAGAACCGCAAGTCCAGGGCCAGCAGTGGCTCCATTAACATCTATCTGTTTCACAAGTCCTCGTACGCCGACAGTGTTCTCACGCACTTGAACCTTCTCCGCCAGCAGCGCCTCTTCACTGATGTCCTTCTCCATGCCGGGAACAGGACCTTCCCTTGTCACAGGGCCGTGCTGGCTGCCTGCAGCCGCTACTTCGAGGCCATGTTCAGTGGCGGCCTGAAAGAGAGCCAAGACAGTGAAGTCAACTTTGACAACACTATCCATCCCGAAGTCCTGGAGCTGCTGCTGGACTATGCGTACTCATCTCGGGTCATCATTAACGAAGAGAATGCCGAATCCCTCCTGGAGGCGGGCGACATGCTGGAGTTTCAAGACATCCGGGATGCCTGTGCAGAATTCCTGGAAAAGAACCTGCATCCCACCAACTGCCTGGGTATGCTGCTGCTCTCTGACGCACACCAGTGCACCAAGCTCTACGAACTCTCCTGGAGAATGTGTCTCAGTAACTTCCAGACCATCCGGAAGAACGAAGATTTCCTTCAGCTGCCCCAGGACATGGTCGTACAACTCTTGTCCAGCGAAGAGCTGGAGACAGAAGATGAAAGGCTCGTGTATGAGTCTGCAATTAACTGGATCAGCTATGACCTGAAGAAGCGCTACTGCTACCTCCCCGAGTTACTGCAGACCGTGAGACTGGCGCTCCTGCCGGCCATTTACCTCATGGAGAATGTGGCCATGGAAGAGCTCATCACCAAGCAGCGGAAGAGCAAGGAGATTGTGGAAGAGGCCATCAGGTGCAAACTGAAAATCCTGCAGAATGACGGGGTGGTCACCAGCCTCTGTGCCCGGCCTCGGAAGACAGGCCACGCCCTCTTCCTCTTGGGAGGACAGACTTTCATGTGTGACAAGCTGTACCTAGTAGACCAGAAGGCCAAAGAGATCATTCCCAAAGCTGACATCCCCAGCCCCAGGAAAGAGTTCAGTGCATGTGCAATTGGCTGCAAAGTGTACATTACGGGGGGGCGGGGGTCTGAAAATGGGGTCTCAAAAGATGTTTGGGTCTATGACACCCTGCATGAGGAGTGGTCTAAGGCTGCGCCCATGCTGGTGGCCCGGTTTGGCCATGGCTCTGCTGAACTGAAGCACTGCCTGTATGTGGTCGGGGGGCACACGGCTGCAACCGGCTGCCTCCCGGCTTCCCCCTCTGTCTCTCTCAAGCAGGTAGAACATTACGACCCTGCCACCAACAAGTGGACCATGGTGGCCCCCCTCCGAGAAGGCGTAAGCAATGCAGCAGTAGTGAGCGCCAAACTCAAGTTGTTTGCTTTCGGAGGTACCAGCGTCAGTCATGACAAGCTCCCCAAGGTTCAGTGTTATGATCAGTGTGAAAACAGGTGGACAGTCCCGGCCACCTGTCCCCAGCCCTGGCGTTACACGGCGGCAGCTGTGCTGGGTAACCAGATTTTTATTATGGGGGGAGACACAGAGTTCTCTGCCTGCTCTGCATATAAATTTAACAGTGAGACTTATCAGTGGACCAAAGTGGGAGACGTGACAGCCAAACGCATGAGCTGCCATGCTGTGGCCTCCGGAAACAAACTCTACGTGGTTGGAGGATACTTTGGCATTCAGCGGTGCAAAACTCTGGACTGCTACGATCCAACCTTAGATGTGTGGAACAGTATAACCACAGTCCCATACTCGCTGATTCCCACCGCCTTTGTCAGCACTTGGAAGCATCTGCCATCTTAAATGTGACCGAAACAGTGAGCATGAGGTAAGAGGTGGGTTTAACTCTCACTGTAAGTATGCAGGTAGTGAAACTGGCTGTGTGTGTGTGTGTGTGTGTGTGTGTGTGTGTGTGTGTGTGTGTTCGGTGCTGTGTGATTCAAATAATATCATAGTCTCAAAGAAGTACCTCAAAAACTATGAAAAAGAGAACTTCCCATCTCGGAGATCTGGTTTCATTTAGTCTGGGGTGGTCCCCTAGCAGCAATATTCTGGGAAAGTTTTCAGGTGATTATAAGTGTACAACGAGTTAGAGAACTCCTAAGTTCATGATGCTTTCTGAGCCTTCCCCCATGACCTGGAGCTGGATTGTGCTTTTCATGTGGATCCTTTCATTTTATTCTCAGACAACCTTGCAAGGTATCACTAGATGTTCTTTTTAGATTAAAAAAAAAAACTGTTGTTATTCAAGGGGAAGAACACTGCCGAGGGGCTCTAGGCGGTAGATCACATCTGGCACAGGTGAGACCCCAAGTTCGATCCTTAGCACCGAGTGGTCCTAGAGCTCCACTGGGTGTGGCCTCTCTTTTAAATACAAAGTACTTCACCCCAAAGTCAAAGTCAGGTGGGTGAAGAATTCCATCCAGGTAATCCTGGATCCAGAGTCAAACACTTGAGCATCAGGATGCGTGTAGTAAACTTGAGCTGCTTTATTGGTACCACCAACTGGTTGATGCTTAAATGGAGCTTTTCCAAATCTTGCCTGGAATGAAGTAGAGTTGAAAAATCAAAAGCTTTTATTTATTTCTGCCTGATTTCTCTAAATAGTTTATTTGCTCATTAAATGTTTCCCCTCAAAAATAACCCCCCTTAGGGCATTTATTAATGTTTGCGGGAAATCTAGGTCAGTCTTATAAAAAGTTGCACCTGCATTGTCTAAATTAGGTCTGATGTGCACGTACCCAGAGCAGTCTCAGCTGCCCATGCTGCAGGCAGCCTTTCAGAGTTAATCAGACAGGCTGACCCTATTGTCGGGGCTAACAAAAGTTGTGTTTCTGTGTCATATATCTGAGTACATAATGGTTGTCTTGTATGCTTAAGAGTATATAATACTCTCGGCTCAAATAATTAATAGGTCTACACAGTTCAGTGTTCGTGAGGCTAATGGCTGCCTCGCGTTCTTAGGATTGACCTCAGGAATCACTTAAGCATTTCTTTCTAAGTGGAGCACAGAGAACATGGAATGCGTTGATTTGTTCAGTAATTCATGGCTCTATTACTAATAATAAGAGAAGAAAATAAAAACTCTGCTTCGGAGGAACTATAATGAAAATGAACTCATTACTTGGAAATTCTTGGCTCTGTTTTCCCTGGTATGTTTCACACCTTTGAAGGGGAATTTCAAAGGGGAAAAGGGAAATCTAAGGATCATGGCATGCCAAGCAAAGGGGAGTTTTGACTTATTTGTCTTTTCTTTCCTCTTCTCTTACAGTTAATTTTGAAACACTAAAATTGTCCTCACTTTCTTTTTGATCCTCCCCCCACTCATTTCTTTCCCAGTTAACTCCTCCAACCAATTACAGTTAGCAGAATTCTTAGTAATGTAATGTTTCCTTGGAACGAGACGCCTTCAAAGGAGCAGGACTAGTCAGAAACCTCCTTTGAGGAGCAACTGGGCTAACAGCGTCTCACACCAAACTGGTTTTTGCAGCCTTGCTGGCATCTCAGTAATCCTGAATAAACAAATGCTCTGGAAGTGGTTATTTCATTTGCGATATGAATGCATGACTCAATCCTAAAGCAGGTTTAAAGAACTTCCTAGGCAAAAGCATCAATTAAGAGCCCACTGAGTTGAGTGATAGTCCAGAACTGACAGTATTTGCAGAGAGCGTTAAACATTGCCACTGATGGTGGGTGTCACCCCCAGACTAGGACATGGTTGACTGATTGGGTTAGTAAGGCAAAGAAGTTGAGGCAGAAGGAGAGGAAACCACATCTACAACCGGGTGCTAGTATTGAACGATGGAATCCTGACCTTTCTGGATTTCAAACTACCTGTCAAGTGAGATTTGAATTATGCTTCCCATAAAAATCTCCCCCTATTCAGGCTTCAGTGATCTCAGGAAATGGGGAGAAGGATAAATATGTAAAGGCAAAAATACCTACCCTTTCTGTTAACTGCAATACTTAAGTATTCAATACTTGGTTTCTTTTCTATTTTCACTGTCAATCTTAGCCGTAGAACGAGCGTCCGGTGTGGTGAGGAGAGTGAGTTTCTTAGGCTACTTGCTTGTCATCTCGGCTTCGTTTTTGGTGCCTCTTTCTCAGCCCAGAGTATGTTGGCAAACACTTGAATCCACCCTACTCCAGGGTATTCGAACCTAATTACACTCTTGCAGTCCCTGGGAAAGGGAGCAAATCAAGTTCGAGACTGTCTGTGAAATAACATCCTCTCTTGGCCCCTGGTGCTGGCAGCCAGAGTCAAGCATGTAAGGACAGAACTTGACAGGGCCGGGTTTGCCTATTTAAAGAGCAGAGTGAATGGGGCTGATCAAAGCTAGTCTTGCTGTTTCCGGCGGGGAGAAGTTTGGTTTAAAAGTTTACTGCACACAGGGTAGTGTGAAAACCTTTATGCTAGATGAAGTGACTGAAGTGTTGGGTAGAGATCATCAGTCCCGGGCTGCTCAAACACCTGTATGACAGCTCCTTTCTCCAAAAGTGCTAACTGAATTAATACACTGTCGATGCAGAGTTCCCCGCAGTTTCAAGCTCATCCACCTAGGGGATCTTAACTGTTTCCTGCTGTTCCATGGTGTGGGAGAGGTACTTGTGTAGCTTTCCTTTTTTCATAGTGCTCTCGGGCTCCAACCTGATAGCATTTGGACTTTCATTTTACTTTTGCTTCTTTTGGTGAGTTGTTGTAGTGCCAGTACCCCCCTCCCCCCATCCTTTTGGGCTAAGTAGCATCTTGAAATTTCATGTTGTTATTTTGTTACCAGATCAGATCTATTGTTCTGTTCTGTTTAGCGAGTATTGCTGTAGAGGTTCCAGAGAGGTGAAAGTAGGGATGACACTGTAGTCTAAGGAATGCCTTGAAAGCTTGAATCACTGGGAGGAAAGTGCCAAAACTAACAGCTAATGAAATTAATCAGTCTACACAGAAAAGCGAGAATTCAGTGCAAGTAATGAAAGGCTCCTCTTTTATGTCTATGCTTAGAGTTAAAGCAATCAGCATGCAGAGGTTTCCTGGAGGGCTGGAAATGTGCCCCACAAAGGGTGACTGTGTGGATAGCAGGAGTTCTCCCCAATTCTGTAGAATCAGGTGAGGGAGGCAGAGTGAGTCCTAGGCGGGAATGGCGGTTCCCTTGGAATAGACGTGTCTCATTGCACAGTATCTTGATTACATCTTCATGCCTGGTCAGTAGATTCTGTAAAATAGTAACTTTTAGCATATCACAGTTGGTGCCTCCAAAGTGTGGATGGATGCACTTTGAGAAAAAACTCCAGCCTTGGGGCTATTGAGACTGGGTGTGTTGTCATGTGAAAGGAAGCGAGACTGATTTCTTCCATAATGAATAGCAGAGATGCATTTAAATCAGAGGATTAATATGTCTGCCTTCTCTATGGCGAATAAATTTAATTTGGAATCCGTTATGGTAAACGGGTCGAGGAGGGTGCGTACAGGACTCCCTTTTGACCCTCTGGTAACTGTTTTGAAGTTGCTCTGTTTAACCATGGAGAAGAATAGGGTCAAGGGAAGCAGAAGGTGATGATTCATTAGGCCACATCTAGACTTGCACTTGAACATACACATACTGGGGAAAGAATTGAAGGTCCTTCTGTGGATGCCATTGTTTATATTGGGCCTCCCATATGCATATGGCTGTGTGTGTATTTGAAACATTGATACCAACTGTTAAACAGCTGTGTGTGTGTGTGTTTGTGTGTGGTGTGTGTGTGCAAAACACATTGATGCTGGCTCTCAAAACCACATTCATGTGTGAACCGTGATGGTACATGCTAAGCATCAGTTTAAGGCAAGCTCATCAACTACTCCACAGTTCCTACTCAACATGGAATTTGAACTTTTAGAAAAAACATTGGTCAGTGACTTTTTTTTTGTGGACAGGCTTGGTTTTTTCTTTGGGGGGGGGAGTTGTAAGGTGTTAAAGGTACTATTCAATCATTCCTCTTGTTCCTTTTTTCCCCTTAGCTCACTTTATCACTTGCCGAGACACAATGAAATTTCTTTTCTGGAGAGGCCAAACTCAATGATGAGGAAGAAGCAAGAGGAAAAGAAGTTGCTCCAAGATTTGAACACAATCCACTGCACCTTGTAAATGACCCAACTGGACATGAAGGAAGGGGGTGGGGGAGGGGGCGGGACTCTCAGTGCAAGTCGCACATGGTTTAAATATGAATGAGTGAACCTGTGATCTAGTCCTTGTCTTGTAATTGTGGATTAATGTCAGCGTTAATCAGCCCCTCAAAGGGAGAGAAAAGCCGGACCTTTTCCCTGGCTGTACCATATTCAGCATTTGATTTCCATGGGCTCCGCCATTTATGTGTAAAATTTGAAATGGTTGTCACCTCCCTTTGAGGAGCTAGCTTGAAGCCTCCACACCAGCTGCTGTTGGAGATTGAAAGCCCAACTGGGGGCCGGGAGGGGAAGCTGGCTGGGCCGGCTGCAGAAGGAGGACTCCTGGTCTCTCGGCTAATCGGGGAGGCACAGTGCGTGCCCCCCAGGAAGATAACCTAAACAGTGGGGGGAATGTTGGTAGCCGTTTAGTAGATATTCTTTTCTATTTATATGTGACTTTTTTAACTTTCCCTTGGCTGTTAAGAAACGTGTTGTAGATTTAGCTATTTATTGTTTGATGCCTGCATGCTGAAACAATGCTTACCGTTGTCTTCACGTGTATGGACCTGTGTGAATGGTTGTATGTTTTGCACATTTTGTGACCGTTAAGACGTGCTTTGCTGCACAAAATGAAAACTTTTTGAGTTACAATTGGCATATAAACTGGAGGGTGGTTTGGGTGGGTGGGGTGGGTACATTTTATAAATGTTAAGACAGGGAAGGGTTACACACCGGAAACTTTAAATTACATCCTGGAACTAGAGAAAGCAGGGAGGCCACTTTATTTGGACTCACCAGTGTTTAACGGGGTTTTATGGTCTGACTGATGGTTGATAGGGCACATGGGGGCTTCCCTCTGCCTTTCTCCTTTCGCACCAGTTCACCTAATTCAGTCTCAGTTGCTGAAATTAGGAAAGGACCAAATCCTTTTGCAGTTTTTTCCCCCTTGCATCCTGAAATCCTGGAAAGTGCCATGGAATAGTTCTGTATATAGGGCACAGGGAAAGATTTTCCAAAGCTTATTTATTTACCTATTTATTACCCTTGGAGAATACTTTTCCAGAACCACAGCTGATGGGACACAACAAAGATCCCAGATGTAAATTAAATTCACTCACTGGATTTGCTTAACCTGGCCAGATTCACCCATCTTTATTCTTTCGCCATGCTAGAAGTTCTCGGGAAGGTCTCCAAAACAGTATTCACAGTTGCACTATGAACTTTCAGTGCTGACCCTTAGGTCTATTTGATAAGTGCAAAACTGGACATGTTTGGCCTGGAAACACCCAATTGTAAGCAGTGGCCCCTGCTGGGAGACACCTTCTGGGACCCTTGGGAACTGTTTGTGAATACATTCTTTTGCTAGTCTAAGTGCTCGTTTAATAGATCCGTGTTGTGATAGGTGTTAGTGCTAGACTCACATAGGTCTGGGGACGACCCACGTTTGCATCTCGCACTGCTTTTGTCAATGTTTCTCACATTACTGTATTTTAGAAAATAGGGTTTTAGACTGCTAACAACCTTTTCCCTTGTGAGTGTATTTTGCAACTAATGACAGATAAATCCTTAACATTTCTCTCCACTCAAATACTTTAGACTAATTGTACATGTCTGTCCATGCCACATGAGTACGTGGGACCAAAATTAATGGTCCGTTATAAAAGGCTGGTCGTACTTTCCAGTGGTCAGTCCTTGGTTCCTCAACGTGTTCTAAGCAATGCAAATGCCTAAATTGTCTCTGGGCCACATAGCAGGGTCCCTGTCTATACTGTAGCAGCCACAGCTCTGTAGTTGATGATGCAAATCTGCCGAGATGTGCGGCTTCTGAAAGCTGGTTGAAATTTCTGCAGCTGTTTCAAAGTTGTGGTCTGCCCTTGAATCCTCTATTAATTGACTCTGTGTGAGCCAGAGGGAGCTGTGGTCCAGGTGGGCCCCTAGCCTGCAGGGAACTTTCTGGATTCCCGCTCTTTGAATTGATGTCGGCATTTGGACTCGCTACTTGACCATTCTCACCCTGTGAAACGTCCCACACTTTGAAGCAAATACAATTAACAGCGCAGTGCACACAAAAAACTTGGCATGAGACAGAGAAGGTTCTTCTTATTCTATGGGCTGGTTGCTGTGGAAACAGGTAACAAAGGGCAGCCTTCCACTTCTGGTATAATGGTGTAGCTCCCTTTTCTCTGGGCTTGACACCTGTCTGAATAAGAGTGATTAGAGCTGAATAATATCCCTCTCTTGGTTATTGAGTATGTGGTTCACGTACAGAACTCTGTGTAAGTTGAAGAAGTAAAGTGTTCATGTTCATATGTGTTTGTTTGCTACAAGTATGTTTTTGAGGTTTTGTAAAACTGTTATTTTTTTTTCACAATGTGAAACTGAAGGTCAAATAAATTATTAGAGATTTTCTCTTCATTGTGTGGGCCTTTATTCGAATACAACATCAGTTTAGACTTTAAAGATGTGTCTAATTTAGTCAAAAGAAGGATCATTTTGCACATTTTCTCCACCCTGTTTATGTCATCAAAGATATGTAGAAAAGCAATTTTGCAGATTAAATTCTTTAGCTTTTAGACCATGTCTTTATGCCGAACAAAAATATCTTCCTTTCATAGCTTGTAGAATATAAAAAAAAATCACATCATGGGATAGTAAGATGAGATACTTTGTGTTAGGAGGAATTTTGATTGTATAGTTCTGTGTGGGTTCTATTTTGCTAAGAAATTTGTGAGAAGAATGATTAGAATTCAGATTCAGTTCTGTTTTAGCTGACAGTACCCTTAGAAATCACTGAACAGGACTAGAAATGTGCATGTCATTAACCTGAAGAGTACTGGAAACCACAATTGTATCGCTCGGATACACTTGGCTTCTTCCATGTGGAATGCCACCCTTCCAGCGGGCTCAGTGTGAGGCTAGGTGAACCCTGCCCCCGGATCTTAGAATCACTCCACAGTGAGTTCCTCCTTTATCACTTGGGTTGACCCCCTGGTCTCATGTAAAGAGCAATGTTGGGTGTAAACTACTGAGGAGAAAAGAAAAACGACCTAATTAGAGACGTGGGAGAACTCAGACGTAGGCTCAGTGCCATGTTGGCCATTGGCTTTAGACCAAGATGCCAGAGCAGATGCCTCAGGGTTGACAGAGGGATGATTCAGGTTCACACTGGAGTGGCTGGTCCAGAGCCAAGCCTGTACAGCAAAGGGAGTGCCCAGGTCCCAAGCAACCAGTTGGGATGGCCCATAGAATCCGCTGACACTGTGTATGACCCCCTCCCCCCCCCAGCCCCCAAGTGCCATGGAGGAGGAGAAAGTCTATATGATCTCCCAGTGACAGGGAGGAGGGGAAGGTCAGTAGTTAGGAGTAGAGATGTCAGAGTCTTCAACGGAAACACATTTGTTTATTCAGATCACTCCCTGTCTCTGTTTTGTCATCTTGGGCATCAATCACCACTGGTCCTTGGCTTACAGACAGACAGCTGGGACTTGGTATTACGTGTGCTTGCTAGATGTCACCTTGTCCCCCCAGGACAGTAAAGTTTTTCCCAAAAGGCCCATCTGAGGAGACTTACCTCCCATTGACAAAGACCTAAGGATCACATGAACATTCAAAGAAATAATGGAGAGTGGGGTCAGGACAGGGGCCTTCGCAAGCAGTGCTCAGTCCCAGAGCCAATTGGGTAAATAACTCAGGGCTGGGACCCAGTGTTGTTGGGAGTTACCAGGGCTATCACCAGAGCTGTTAGGGCATATAGACCAAGGGGTATGGAGATCATGGTACCAGGGGTCCAAATATGTGACTCCCAACCTGTTCCCCGAACCCAGGAGAGGAATATTTCCATTCAGGGCCATTCGCCATCTCACGCAAAAATGTGATTTTTGTTAGGCTGGAAGAAGAGACTGGGATGAGCTAATGCACTTGGCTAATTAGAGTGTGAGCCAAGGGTCACTTTAAACGACTACCTGTGCTAGAGGCTGTGTTAAGGACATGCTTTACAGGCATCTCACCTAGTTCATCTTCCAAGAAAGGAATGTTAAATATGTAAGAGAGGTTTCTTAACTCATGTGAGCCTAGGTTTCTCTCTATCTCTCTCTGAAGATTTCATCATCCAAGAGAAAGTACAATGCCTGGTGCATAGCAGGTGCTTCAAACTCTTCAGTTGTCCTGGTTCCCTTTGGGAGAAATGCATCCATTTAGTAAATCTGCACCTATTCTGGGCTGGGCATTGCATTAAAGGTTTGCATGCCCCTCACCTTGTTTCAGCCTCACAACTCCATGAGAACAACTATGATTAACCCCATGGGGAAAATGAAGAAATGGGTTTTGAGAGATTGCCTAACTCAGCTGAGGGCGGGGTGGAGCTGAGATTTCAAAGCACTGTTCTCTGACCTGCTGGCCCCTCTCTGGGCCCAGGAATGTGGAGGAGATGCACAGGGCTGAACCTGGCTGAGAGAACCTGAGATTGGTCTGTCTGTCCAGGAAGACCAGAACTCATGAGAAGTGCTGAGAAGGCTGAGGCTGGTGGGTCCTAGTCTCAGACAAGAGAACTAGAGCATCTGAGTCTGCTAAGATTAACAAAGTGTTCTTGGACCAGAGTTCTGAAAGCAAAGAGGGTAGATGATAATGGGGACCCCTCCATGAGGGTGGGACTTGACAATTCCTTGAGCTTTCACACACTTCCTTAGACGTTGTCTATGTTCTCATTTGTACAATGTTTACAGACTAGGAGATTATATACAATGGCCAGACAACACAGATAGAACCATGACCACCCCCCAGCCCCCCACCCCTCCCTGCCAATCTTCAGCCAGCAGACCAGGAAAGCAACACATTATCAAGAAGTTCTACAAATCAGATATTCTGGACCTCAGAGCAATTGGTCCAAGAATGCGGCAGTCAGTGCTCCACACAGCAAGGACTTAACGTAGGATGAGGAACTTAATTTTTGAGATTCCAATTTAGGATTGAACAGGGAAGTGAACTGTGCCCGTTGTTCATCATCGGGAATACCCTGCTTCCGGCTTCCCAAGCCTCCCCTCCCCTCAGGGCATCTCCCAAGCTCTTGGGCTCAGCTGTTGGCTTTTGAGTCTGCCAGAAGGCCAAGGACAGGCAGGCTCCCTGGTCTAGCAAAGCACTGAATACATAGCCGGTGCTTCTTCTCGTCTGATTGGTCTTTGTTCATTTCCACAGACAGATGTTTGTTCAATGAAATAATTAAATCTTTCAATAAAAGAGGTTTATCAAAATGAAACGAGGACCGACATCATGGGCTCTGGGCAAGATGGGTTTTCAGGGGGATGTTTTCATCTTGATTGTTAGAATAAAAGGAAATGAACACAATACAACAATACAGAGAAAACTGGATTTTGAGTTAATGGGGTTGAGATGAGGGCATCTGGTTTGCCAAAACAGAGTGCAGTGGCTTTGGAAACAATTCCACAAAACGTGAGAACACTTAAGTAAGTTTTACAGCCTTATTCGTGGTGCACATGAAAGTATGAATAAATGCAAAGACGTAGCAGTTAATTCCTGGTCTTGCCTGTCACAAATCTTAAGTGCTTTGCCTGTCTGACACATACTCAGACAAGCCATCTGTCCTGCATTTCAGTTTAATCATAGACAATGAATTTTAAAGCTCTGTTATTTGTCAGCCATTGGACAACTAAGTGCAAGACCTAAGTTTCAGAGGGGAAAAATGTACAAGGAGGCATGGCTATGAATTAAAAGCAATCTGACTAAGTAAATTATAAATCTACCACAATCTCTGCGCAGCTCTGTTTACAGCCCAGACTTGTTTTTTGAATCAGAGAGAGCTGTGTGTGTGGGGGGGGGGGGGTGGGAAATGGGGGAAATGGGAGGACCAAATGAGACAAAGTTTCTGTCTTTCTCTCTCTGGATGTGTTTCCTTGACAACCATAATCTTTATCTGTGCAAAGATGGGGGGGTTGCATGGAGAAAAGCCAGTTGGAATTTCAGCAAAGTCTTTCACTAATCCTTCTCTTGTGTTATCAGGTGTTATGAAAAGTTGTTTTACTCCAGTGGGAGATGGTGTTGGAAGTGTTTATTGGGTATCCTGGAAAGGTGGGGAGGATTTTCCCCGATGAGAGATGCTGCTATTACAACCACAAAGAAGATTAAATCAGCCTTTCGGTAGCCACACTAGGAGCCTGCAAAGTGGAAAGGAAGGTGTCTTTCACTGGGGGTCTAACAAAAGGGTACAGAAGCTCTGAATTACAAATGCCAGGTCACAGTCCAGCTGCCAGGAGCACCATGTTGAGAAAACAAATCATGACATTTTAAAATTATTCTGAAATTGTTATTCAGATGATTTTGAAGTTATCTGAAGGGAAAGAAGAGGGAGAGAAAACCTCAGAAGAGACCTTGAGTAGAGGTGTCTGGTGAATAGGACCCTTATTCATTTCCTTTTCTGGTACTTTCGGAGAGCACAAAAGATGAAAGGAGTGTCAACCAAAACCCTCTTTTTATGTATTATTTTTATCAAAAGTTTAAACAACTTAAATCACCATGAAATTACAAAGTCATTCATGATTGGGTTTCAGGTCTACAACATTTCAAGACTGACCTCTTCACTAGCCTCCACTTCCCTCCACTTATTCCCTCCCACCCACATTTACTTCCTACTTCTTCTACAAGAGGTGCACCAAAATCCCCTTTCAAAATGGAAAGGCCCTCCCGTTGATCGTCGATTTGCTCGAGCGGTCTCCATTGGAGACTTTGTTGTTACTGTGTCTGGCATATCGAATACTCTCGGTAGCTTGCCGGGCTCTCCGAGAGGGGCGGAGGAATCGAACTCCGGTCGGCCATGTTGGCCGCTTGTAAGGCGAACGCCCTACCGCTGTGCTATCGCTCCAGCCCCTTCAAAATGGAAATACCTGAGATTCACTGGTATGGAGATTTGAGAGTGTGTGTGTGGGGGGGAGACAAGGGTGCTGAAGTTTCTCATACATTCACAAGAATTCCCTCTGTAAAAGTGGGTGGCAGCTGCAGCAAGGAACCTCCTGGGGCACTTGCGTGGGTGGGGCTCAGACTTTGTGGTCTATCTCGGGAAATGTTAGCAGCCAGGCCTGTAGAGGTAGCAAGTGGAAGAAGAGAAAGGCCACACTTTCACTTCTAAAATACTATGTTTTGGAAGGACCAATTGGCAGAACACCGGGTATTTAAGTTCATAAAACTATTCTGTGTGACTATACGATGACAAATACGACAGTAGATGTTTGTCAAAACTCATAGACCATACAGCAGTGACAGTGAAGCCTAGTGTTAGTTATGGATTTAGGGTGGTAATGATGTGTCAATACAGGCTCTTGGTAAATGTAGGTTTCACAGGATCAGCTTGCACCTCACACTCTCAGAAACAATCCCCTCAGACAGTCTGGCGGGTAGCAAATCATCTC